AAGTAATTAAAATGTTTAAAAATTTAACGATGAGTTGATTGGGGTTCATCTATGTGTGTGACTATTCTTAATTCTTTATAAATCATTGCCATAAAACTTTACCTGTACAATATGCCAGCCAACATGCAGTTGGCTGTTGAAGTTTGTAGACGTAGTAACCAGAACAAACTTTGATCTGGATGGTGTGCGAGACAAAATGGCAGCAGGAACCTGACCAAGCATTACACACAGTGCGATTTACGATTTCATTAAGCTGAACTGGATGAGGTTCGGTTATCCATAAGGGAACATCGGCTCCGCATCGGTTTTCTGCTACACATTTCTCTGGCATCCGAGCGCTGGTCTGACCCAAATAAAAGCGATACCAACCACTCCAGACAATGTTTCGGTCACAGTGTAAGATTGTTTGGTCTGTATTCTCTGTTGAACGCCAGGCATCATTCACCACAGTGTATGTGGCACAGGGGTCGATGCATTGAACAACTCCATTGGTGGTGATGCACTCTGTGCCATCAGGACAACAATCACAGCCGGTACAAAGAGCTTGGTCATCATCAAATATGACATGTGGAGAAAAACAAAAGATAAACATTATAAGTTTAAAGATACCAAATACTTTTGCTTTTATTTTGACCTTTCAGATTTTGAGAGGATGTGGGTGAAGGGGTTTTCCGGCACCCAAGAATAGATTAGCAGCTAAGTAAGATCATAATATCTTCCATAATTTCTTATCACTAAATGCAATTCCACAGTCTGACAGGTTCATGTTAAATCCAGTTGCAGACAATTTTTCTACAGAGACTTAATGAGTCTCTGAAGATCTCTCTGTTTGCTGTGAACAAAGATCAGAAAGTTCTCACTCCATTTCATTTTGAAATTGTTGCTCCTGTTATGTTTTAGACACAACACTGCAAATAAAAACCACTTTCAGACATTTATGATGAATTTCACTTTGCTGTGGTTCAAAGGAGACTCATGCTTAATTGTTACACAGCAGGTTTTAAACTAAGCTGAATGAGAAAATTATTCCCCAAACCTTTTCTCAACCTCAGTCTTCTTGAACGACCAACCAACAGACTGCAGATAAAACTAACATATTTCTGGTGTGGAAAAGTCTCTCTTTCACATTAAGATGTAAAGTCTTACCAGTAGCCACAGAGATCAGTGAAGTTTGGAGAAAAACTGCCATCAAAACAGAAACAAAATATGGAAACAGCTGATCAATACATTTGAAATTAGACATTTACATATAATATATTAAAAACAATTTGCTAAATGCCAGAATAATAGCAGAGAAAACATTTTTCATGTAACTTTAAGCAAGTCAACTAAAATCAGTTAAACTGTTAGAGAAATCTCAGTGGGACGTCATTGATTTGTTAGACTAGATCATAGTTAAATCCAGGCACAGCTGCACTGTAAACACACCACTTAAAGGTTTGAGATCATGCAAAAGTTTAAACAAATCAGTCAGGCTGTCATAAACAGTATAAACAAATCTGATTTGTCCTATGGACTTCGTAAAGATGCTGAAGTAATCTCATTTTCCAACATCGGCTAAAAAAATCATGTAGCGAGGAAGATCACATTATCCACTGGCAACATGAAGAAGCCAGATTATAGTTTGAAAACCCACTAAGAAACAAATACCTTAAATTTTAGTGACGACTGAAGCAATTTTTTCCCCATATATTGTTATATCTGGAGAAAAAAGGTGGAATTTCATAAACATATTCCAGCATCAATTGAAGAAATCATCCTGAAAGTTACAGCTCAACAACAAATTGGTCTTCTGAATGGAAAACGACAATAATAATTATTTTAGATTATCAAGAAAGGACAGCAAAGTTAATGTTTTGGAGTAGCCATCACAAAACCCTGGTGTAAGACCAATAGAAATAGTTTGTTCAAGCTGTAAACAAAAGTTACACTACTAGAAATTATAAATAATTTTGGTAATTCTAATGTACCTAAAAGTTGAGGAAAGGTTTGGACCCACGATTTCCTTGTATTGAGGTGAAAGTGCCAATCACACCCCATGTGCATTTTCATGCACACTGTGAAAATGTACATAGTGCACATGTACATGTTCAACACATTACTTTGATTTTAACTTTTTTCTAAGGTTGCATCTCTGCCTCAGTTTCCCTCTGTGGAAGAAAGTCTAAAAGAAAAAAGACTTTAAGAAGTTAGAATCAGAAAAACAACAGACACAAACCTGAGAGCCCAAACAGGATGAGCCTGTAATCCATCAGTGAAAGCTTGACATAAAATAAAGTATCAAGAAAATAAGTTCAACATCCAAACACTATAAATGCATTTCACAACACAGACAAGCGGATGACAGCTTCAAGGCTTCAAGGCTTCAAGACACACAGAGACAAAGTCTTGAGATGCTCTACATGTTTAAAGGTACTACAGATGGGTGTGGCATGACATATATTGTCACTTCCCAGGATGTGTGACAGTAAAAGAACATGGAAATGATGAAAGCAGATTAGTGTCATTTAAATTACTAGAATTCAACATTTCTAGAGTTCATAGAAGGAGAAGTTGCATCATTAGGTCTGTTTTATCGCCAACATTGTAGTTTGTGAGACTGAGGAGGTCAGGAGTTTAGGAGAACCACAGGAGTTTTACTGGGTTAAAACTCTGGATTACACCCCCTGTTAAAACACAGTTCAATCAAATGATTGAAATATCTCTACAGTATGCAATAAAGTTTAGCAAAGGTCTGGAAATGAGAAATTAATTTGTTTCTGTCATGAAGTGGGGTTGTAGGTGGTGAGGAGAGACGCTGAGACCCAGGTTATGGTGATGATGATTATTTAATGAAGGCTCAAAACAGTCCAACACAGGCAGCACGGCAGAGAGACAGGCACACAGCCAAATACCGGTAGCAACTGATAAACAGGACTTGGAGACGAGAGCTAACGCAAACCAGGACTTAGCAGTTCAACTGGCGCGAATAGACGTCAACACGACAACTTAGACAAACCTAGACATTGACAAACGACACTGACTTACGACAATCACACGACGAGGATCCGACACAGACAAAGACAACAGGTGGGGTTAAATACACAGGGAAGGTAATCAGGGAACGGGATACAGCTGGGAGCAATCAACAGGGAAGATACAGAGACAGACTCACAGAAACTCAAAAATAAACACACAGAAACACGGAACATGACAGTTTCAGGAGAGTTTTAGCAGGGATGCATCTAAAACCTGCAAGTAGCTCTAGAGAACTACGATTGGAGACATGTCGCCTGTTTTAAGGCATAAAGTTACAAGTTAAAGTTACTGTCAAAGGAGAGTAACTGTTGGTTTGGTTTAGTGGTTTAATGGGGCAGATTTCTGCATTCACACAGCAGCTGAATGTGACTTATTCTATTTTGGCAAAGAGGAGTTCCTTCAATTGGGATGAAAAAATTCAGCCTAAGTCATCACACCAGACTGGACCCAAATGGAATATATCCACAAATGTACCTACTAGAATTTAGCATTCATTAGTTTGGTATAAAATGTTACCAACCAAAGTGTATGAAACATTATTATCAAATGGAATAAAGTACAGGAACATTTGAGTTTGGGGACACAACAAGAGAAGTTGAGAATAACAGAGTTAACATCCTGTGGGATTTCCAGATCAAGCTTTATATAAAAAAAAAAGTTAGGCAGCCAACTGGACACTGTGGCAGCAGTGATTAATGTAGCAATCTGAAGCAACAGCAACATAAAAAAGAAACAGGAAAAGCTTAAAAATGCCTAGGGCTCAATGAGGAAACGCCAGAGTTGTGGAATGTTGAGGCTTCAGCAGGGCAGCTGAGACTGAGACCTCAAAACCACAGAAAGTTTTCATCAGATTCCACCACCAACATCTGAGATCTCTTTAATTAGCACAACCAGCTAACGAGCTGTAGAACCGTTAAGGTCCAGAGAACCTAGAGAACCAAAGCTTTAAGTATACATGACATGGTAATGGAGTCTATTTTATATCACAACTGTAACTGATGCTGTAAATAACACTTTCCTGTGAAATGGATCTGCCTTAGATAACCTGGGGAAAATGAAAGTAAAGGAGCATCTTACACTGTAGGTGATATTAGAGCAAACAAGGATAATGCAGGGTGTGTGTAGTTCCATTTGCCTTTGTACTTATAAGCATTGAACATTTACAAACTTCTGTGCAAAGAAGATAATAAACTTTGCAATGCAAAGTAGAAAGTATGAATGAAGCACCTTGTGAAAGAGCAAACTCAGTGCTACAGTCTGAAACATGAGAAAGAAACAAGATGTTTCTGAGAAACCGATGTTTTTGTTCTTCACACGGAAAGCTGTTTCTGCCATGCAGGGGCGATGGTGGATCAGAGGGCAGTAGTTCATGTAATTATCACTCCTTTACTTGATCTTTAACCACAACAGCATAATATGAAATCAAACTAAATTTGAAATCTATGTAAAAATCTGCAGAAACAGACGGATAAAATCACTGAACGTTCTTAGAGTTTGCTTCTTTGACTGCATTTTAAGACGGTCCAGTTATTATGTCTCT